ATCAGAACGTTAGAAGTTTAAAGGCAAATTATCGTGACTCTACCACAAATTGCGTCCTGAATAAGTTATCTAGTCTACAAGATGTTGTTTATGGCAACAGTATTGATGTTATTGCTTTGACAGAGACCCGGCTGTCCAATCATGTACGAAATGATGAAATTTTACCGGTTGGATACAAGTTATTTAGGCGTGATCGACAAACTGGCAAACGGAGAGGTGGTGTATTGTTAGCTGTGAAAGATTCTGTCAGAACTGAACCATATGACTTTGTTTCATATTCATTGGAACTTGCTTCTGTTGTGATTAATTCGTCATCCAAAAAAGTTCTTGTCGCTGTGTGTTATCGCCCTCCTGATTCCTCAATTGATTTCCTGCACGAACTGGACCGTTTCTTGAAATTTGTTGCTGATTCTCAATTTAAAGATGTTGTTTTAATGGGCGACTTTAATTATCCCAATATTCAATGATCTGACGGATCGGGTTTTTCTACCATAGGATCAGAAATTGGTTTTATTGACCTTATCACTGATTTTAGTTACTTGCAACTAGTCAACTCATCTACTCGTGGCCATAATATATCATCGACCTGGTTCTCACTACGAATGAACATTTGACTGACAACTTTGAAATTACTGATGATGATTCCATCTCCTTACACTCGGACCATAAAGCTATATCTTTTGACTTAAAATTGCATCAACGACCAAAACAATCCACCGAGCGAATAGTTTATAATTATTCAAAGGGAGATTTTGTTGGCCTCCTAAACTGTCTTCAGAACGCTTCTTTAGTGGATTTAGTTCGCAATAACTGTGACGACTGACGACATTAATGTTGCTTGGTCCAAGTGGAAAGCTGCTTTCCTTACTGTTACTGCTGCCGATAGTTTTATACCGAAAACATCTCGCTCAAGCGTTCCTTCACGCCTCCTTATATCACCAAGAATCTACTTCACGCCATCAACATGAAGTCGTCCCTAAGGAGAAAAGCAAAGGCTAAGAACTCACCTCAATTGTGGGAGAAATTTCGCAAGACTCGGCAACACGTCAAATGTTGGATTAATGCCAAGAAGAGAGAATACTTATCTGGACTGTCTCAATCCTTATACAACAACTCTAAATCATTTTGGAGATTTTTTAAGTCTAAATCTTCAAAATCTTCCATACCTGATGTAATTAAGATAGGGGGTCTTAAACTATTCTCTTCTGAAGAAAAGGCTGATGCTTTTAATACTTATTTTGCGTCAGTTTTTACCTCCGACTCAAATTCTTCTTTACCTTTAATTTCTCCTTCGCAGTCATCATCAAACTTTCTTGACTCAATAACTGTTTCTGAAGTTGAAGTTCAATCTTTGTTATCCAGTTTGTCACCCTCTAAGGCTATTGGGCCTGATGGCATACCAGCATATCTTTTAAAGCGCTGTTCCGAAGTCATCGCTCCGTCTTTAACAGTTTTCTTCGAGTTGTCTCTTCAGCAGGGTGTATTTCCTTCTGAATGGAAATCTGCTAATGTGGTTCCAATACCTAAGAAAGGTGACGCTCAGTAAGGAACCAACTACAGACCTGTTTTATTACTCTCCCAAGTCTCAAAAGTACTTGAACGCTTGATTTTTAGACAGGTTTCTTCTTTCATTAAGGACTCTTTGTATGACATTCAACATGGCTTTCGCTGCAATAGGTCATGTGTTACTCAACTTTTGTTACTCATCTCGCACCCGTTCAAGCAAGGACAACTTGCTTCAAGTCAATCCGTGCAAAAGAAAGAAACTCTTTTTTTAACCGAATTGTCTTTCTATGGAACAATCTCTCTCCAATCATTCGTAACAGTTCGTCTGTTTCATCATTTAAGTTCCAGCTCCATTCTCACTACTCTTCTCAATTAGACTCTTCTTTCGATGTTAACAGATTGCGCACTTGGAAAACCTATTGCTCTAAATGCGTTCTTTCAACTTAAGCTGTTGCTCATAATCTAAACTATTAATTTTTATATAGCTATGTAAATAGTGTTCTAGTCCTTGTCTTTAATGTATGTCTACTTATTGTATTGTATCAGGTTGGTCTTTACATGGTACTCATGTCCTGTTGACCATACCTTCAATCATTGTTATATTTTTTGTATGATTGTAAAATTAATAAATAATTTAACAATACATCGTGTGAGAACGACATCGATGCCGTACAACTATTAAATAACAACAGAAATAAAAGTGGTGATTTAAACGAAAAGTTGAAGTTATCTTGGACAGGAGATTAACATCATTTAAACGATTTGTTGAAGAAAATATCGCCATCAGTGGTATTTGGGAATCGCCTGGTGATGAAAGAAAGTCTTACAGTGATGGCTATACCACAATAATGTGGTGGAAAAACAAAAAAAAGCTGCAGTTTAGCGGTAAGGAAGCCGACAAAATCTAGCAAACGTTTTGCAATATATTGATGGGAACGTGTCAACTGAAAATAACATGGCAGACAAAGGTGATCAGGGTGGCGACACAGACACTTCCCAACGTAACCGCGATGCGGTGATGCTAGATGCGGTGACGGGGCTGAGAGCTGAGGTTGTCTTCAACACAGAGGCCATCAACAAAAAAAACAATGAAGGCCGTGTCATAGAATAAAGATCCATATTCAAGGGTCACTTACGTCGGAAGCTTTGAAGTTTCTGTCCTCGCGCATGTCGCATTACGCATGTTGGCCGCCATTTTCCTAGCCAGTCAATGACATTTTCTGGCCAATAAACACGCTGTATTGGCTGGCTGTTCCGCCTTCTGGCCAGTAAACTGCATATTTTTGCATAAAAAAACGCGGACACGTTGCACCGCTGAGTGGCCCTTCTGTTACTGATCTTTATTCTGTGGCCATGTTATTACAAACGCAAGCCCCATATCTCTCTTTTGACTAGGAAACGCTGAACGTCTCTGAGTCAAGAAAGGGACAACAGCCGTGTACCTCAGAGCCCGTCAAACTCTACCGCTAGGAAGAGTAGCTACCTTTCGGCGCACGAGAACTAGCTGGATCAACCGACTCAACCGTCAAGCTTGTTTGCAGGGTTGCCAGATAGATTTTTCAAATGTTCATGCTGCGCATGTTCAAAAGTTCACAAAAAATCAATCAATGTTCACAAAACTGGTCAACGGTATCTATTAAGGTCATTTTTCATTTTACCGAATATTTTTTGACCGGGGGTGTGTTATTTTTTTGCTATTATTCATATTGGTCATTGATATATTTATTAATAAAAATATTTTAATATATTATTAATATACTGCTTAGGACTTTCGACTTTTAAATGAACAAAAAAAGACAATTAAACAACGTAATTTCAAATAATTTTAGGCCAAGTTGAACATTTTGCTCTACTTTATTTTATTAACAGTCATTGTCGTTACAAGTAGCTGTATTTTAAAATTTGACCAGAAAATTGCAATGGGAAAGTCAAAACCTCAAGGGAAAGTCGCCTGCCGTACCCAGGCGTCTCTTTGTAAAAAACAGTGATGCGCATATGACGAGTTTACATGAAGTATTGTAGTGGGGAGAGATGGGCGAAGGGGCTGAAGAGTGCACTTGCGAAGAGTGGGGCGAAGAGTGCACTTGAAATGCGAGACGCCTGGCTATGGCCTGGCAGTTCTTGGTAGATTTCTTGCAAGAAAGTCGATTTCTTGGAAGTTGTGATATTTCGTTGTCGTTAACGATTATTTGCTCCTTGTTTTTGTTGAATTGACTAATGTTAATATTCTTCTGTCATCTGGGCGTGAATTCATGCTGTTATTCTTGGTATATATGACATATGCCTTATTTAAAGTCCATGGAAATTCCAATATTAACATGTCAACAACCGAAGTGTTGAAGAACTAGACTTGCAGGAACTAGATTTGTAAGGATCGTGACTAAAACACCACACGAGTACATACGAGTAACATATACGAGTAACACACAAGTACATACGAGTAACATACGAGTACATACGAGTAACATACAAGTACATATGAGTAACATACGAGTGCATACGAGTAACACACGAGTATATACGAGTAACATACGAGTAAAATACAAGTACATACGAGTACATAGGAGTAGAATACGAGTAAAATACGAGTAGTAAACTTGTTTTTAGTGTTTGTAGATTGAATACAGGCAAAAAGATTGTCTTCTCTGTCGAAAAACGTGAAATAGACTGAAACCGGCTATCTTTAAAACCCGGAATGGGGGAACGGGGGAATGGGGGGATGGGGGACGGAGAATGGGGGGAATGGTGGGGCGAGGGAGGAAATGGTGGGGCGAGGGGGACGGGGGAGGTCTGCCCGATTCTATAAACCACAACTTTGTAGTTTGTACAACATCTATACTTTTAGATATTCTACCTAGATAGTTAGATACATGACACAAACCATAGGCTTCACATATTTCACAGCATGGTTTGCTTTCAAAATCCTGTGAGCATGCACATAACCTAACTGCATCTATACTTAAATAGTACTAGGGAATAAACTTACAATCCTCACATAGCCTCAATCACAACATGTGGCTGGACAAATATACGAACTACACAGTTAACGTTAACAACAAAGACCAACAAAGACCAAGACGTTTACAGTATCTCACTGCATGGTCTGCTTTCAAGACCCCGTTGAAAATATTAGAAATCCATTAGATATATAATGAATATAAGTAAACCACAGGTCCAAGACGCATGTAGAGGTCCTACTACCTATCACAAAATTAAAATATTGATCGTTTATTGTCCCTGGATATGCAAACAACATACATATAGTTACACATGGAAAAGGCGGCAGTGTGAAGTGTTATCGGGCCTGCGTAAATAGCTCAACAAAGATATGCGAACATGTCCTGGCAGTAGCGCAAGTCCGTGGATCATTAAACGAGTTCTTGGCATGGTACCGATCCAAAAGAAGGGCAGATCCAAAAGAGGGCATAAAGACAAAGTGTTGGACATGGCATTAGGAAGTGCTCCAAAGAGCGCGGGGAAGAAGCCAAGTAATCGAAAGAAAAGCAACTCGCAGAAACTTCCTGTTACCGAGACTAGGGACCTAGAAGGTAACCGATCTGTCTTCGTCAATCCACAAGCACCGGTATTTCCACTAAACGTAGCTCCGGTTCCAATCTTGCCTGCCATACAGCAACAAACAGAGAACAACAGGCTTAATAGTCTTTTCCCCGAAGCAGCTCCACACCAACCTGTTATTCAGAATGTTTTCCCATTCCCCATTCCGGGTTTTAAAGATAGCCGGTTTCAGTCTATTTCACGTTTTTCGACAGAGAAGACGATCTTTTTGCCTGTATTCAATCTACAAACACTAAAAACAAGTTTACTACTCGTATTTTACTCGTATTCTACTCGTATGTACTCGTATTATACTCGTATGTACTTGTGTTTTACTCGTATGTACTCGTGTGTTACTCGTATGTACTCGTATGTTACTCGTATGTACTCGTATGTTACTCGTATGTTACTCGTATGTTACTCGTATGTACTCGTGTGTTACTCGTATGTACTCGTATGTACTTGTGTGTTACTCGTATGTTACTCGTATGTACTCGTGTGG